TATATATATATATATATATATATATATATATATATATATATATATATTTATATTTATACTTTATATATATATTTATACATTACAATCAATTTTACTTCGAAATATCTTTATAATGCTCTTTCCTTCGAGATAACATTCGAGTGAAATTATCGAATAAAGTGCAAAGACATATTCTTCAACATGTTCTGATCTTGAATAGGAGAACTGTTCAGGTGAAAAAGAGACACACGGATAAAATAAGACAGAGACAACGCAAGTTAGCGCAAATGCAACGTTAACAAAAACAGCTCGCGAATTTCAAAATTTAAGAAAAATCCCGTCTAATTGTTATCGTTTCTTCTATTTTTCCATTTATCTAAAAGTTTCAGAATAAATAAAAGAAATAAAAAACATAGCTTGTTTGAAATTATAATAATAAGAAAGATTATAGCTTTAAATAGTCTCATTGTTAATATTTAAGAGTTAAAAGGTCACAAAATAAACTTGATGTAACGCAATGTAATGCATTAATAGTTATTCTGTTTGGATGATAGAGTACAGAAAAGGAAGCCAACAAAAACAAAGAACAAAATAACTTATCTCTGCCAAATAAATTACTAGCGTTTTTCGAATGCTATCGGGAAACTCAGAGCTTCATTATCGAACGGCTACAGTTCGCCTCGGCGTGTAGCTTTTCCTTGAATTCTTAGAGAGTCCGGCGAATTGACCGAGAGATCCTCGTTACGGTTATTTACCGAAGACCGATACTGATTAATTCCAAACCATTCCCCTGGTCCTGCGTCCTTGCCTCCCTCTCGCTTCTCTCCAAACGAGCATAGCCTGTACTCAACCCCCAATCGTCATCCTCAATCTTGCTCTCCGGCCTTTACCTATTCGGCATTGCGATCGATAGACTGAGAGCTACATTCACATGTTTCGTACAAACATGTAATGAGGTGCAAGGACATTCACAGGGAGTTCCCAAAAAGATTCGAACCCCCTTTTCGTGTAACTTGGCGTAAATAACCTGAACGAGTTTCCTTTACGAGACGAAGGCGAGGGCCTAAATTAGGTTGTCTACAAGATTTTCTGAAAACGACTTTCAGAAAATACCGAAAAAACTTCGTATTTATACTTTTCTTGATTTTTCGAAATTCTAGGAAAAATTTTAGCAATTTAAATAGATGAAGAAATAAAAAAATATAGCTTGTACTTGTTTGCACTTATAACAATGAGAAACATAGTTTTAAATACTCTCATTGTTAAGACTTAATTATACATGTAACAATACACGAGAAAGTGTGTAATTCAATATTACTAACAATATCTTTCGAGCAAAGTAACATCACAAATGATTAACTTTCTCTTATATTGAATTCATTTAATAATCACATTAAGAAAGAGAAATTAGTGATCTTGGCATTTCTATTTAATCAGTGAATTGAGAATATTGAATTGAGAGACATGATAATATATATACTATTAATTTCTATTGCTTATTCATAATAAAAAGTCGCTAATATGGTCTTTCATTTTGTTGAAAGCCAATCTCTGTTGAATAGCAAACAATGACGAAGCTGGCAATTTGCTTAAGATATCTGAATTTCGAAATATCAGTTTACAACTGTAACACACATATTTCTGTACATCCTCCGTAGTCAATTGCTCTATTTTACTGTCTATGTAACCACACTGATTGCTATTGTTATTACAACATCCTTGATTATTCGACTGACACTGATTCAATTCCTTATTACTGAACAATTTGTTTTCTTTATCACTAACTATAGTCCTAGCAGTGGCATCTTTGGAAGATACTAGTCTAGAAACTTCAATCGCTTTCATAGCAGTGACACCACTATCGGAAGACACAGAATCCAAGCTAGCATTACACAGTACACAATTATTTTCCAGGTCTTGATTATCCTTGCTACTCTTCGCGCTTAGTTTTTCAGCTGTGCGCATTACAGTAGATGCTGTACCAGAAAACTGCGACTCCAGTCCCACTGTGAAGTTATATGTCAAGGCTTGTATGGAAGTTGCTGGTTGTATCGTCACTTCAATCTTTTTTGACTTAACAGGATTTAACATGTGACATTCCGAGTAATAGATTAATTCCTGCTGTGTGAAATCTCTCATTGGCTTGAGTATCTTGATGTCTGCACATTGAGCGTCACAGAAGGCTGCACGTGTAGAAAGTTGTGCTCCTCGTCCCAAACATATGTCTCCAAGTACCTTTGTAGCGATATCCATCGTAGAATCTGCCACAAATACTTTATTACAATTAAGTTTCCTAGCTGCAGACACTAATAATTTTCCACGTAATTTGTCGAGAAAGTCTGCCCTTGAGGTACTGTCAGACAAACTAGTCAATATTTCACGGAACTGTTCATCGTTATTATTACTGCCAATTGACTGATCATCAATCTGTCTTATACTTAATACATCCTCTTTACTTAAGACTTGGCTCAACGATACCACATAGCAGTCAAATCCAAAATTTTTCGTTTGTTCAGCAATCTTGCATTGTATATTATTTTTACTCTCATGTGTTGTGTCATTCAGTAAAACATCTGTGTCAGAAAAGTACAGTTTTATAACCTTAAAACTAAATATAACATAAAACTGTTCATTTATGTAAGATTTACCATCTATATATAAAACTGTTGTCTTGAAGATAAGTTTCTTATGCGTCGACTCACTCATACCAGCTTTAATCATATGTAAAAGCACAGTAGAATTTAGTTCGCCTGTATAATCAACTAATATTGAGTCACCATGACGGATGATTTTAGATTTACCAAGTGCCGCTCTAAACTTGTGATTTGTAACAGTTAGAAAGCACATGTTGCAGTAACCACTCTGACCGGTCAGTAGAACGTCAACATCTTTGCACTTGCACTTTCTGCAAACTTTGGTATCTCTGTCAGAAATAATAAAAAATATGTAAATGCAGTATACGTTCCAAGTTATTTATTAAAGGCAGTAAACATCAAAAGGCACTAGGCATTAATATGCTAATTTTCATTATTTATTATAGATATTACTTACGTCAGGGAAGTTGACATACTTTCCAATACTTTATCATCATTATTGTTACATCCGTAATCACTGAGCGAACACATCTTTCTGTCGCAACTTGTTAAAATCAGATTTCCTTGTAAATTATTTGTTTATACAGATATCCTAAACATAGTACTCTAACCTAAACTAACAATAGGAACACCGCATTATACATTTGTGTTATCGATAAAATATTATTAGAGAACCGTCGGTCTTACGCATAGACATAATATATTATGTCTATGTACTTATGAGAATTAGGACACTTGAAAAATTTCATTGGACACTGATATTCTCGATGAAGTGAAAATGCGTCTGACTCTTTGATTAAAGTTAGGTTATACCAGAAAGAAGCACGAGAGCGGCCACCAGCCTGATTTCAATGGCCAGAGCTAAGTGCATTTTTGAGACGCCATCTAACAAAGTGCACCTTTACTACGTTCGTTAGGCGCATTTTCGCGGTGGTAACGATAAAATTAAATAATAACCAAATAAATTAAATAAGAACTGAATAAAGAAGTAATAATATACTCGAATATTAAATAGTAGTGATAATAATAACTGATGGACAATCATGTGATAATATCTGCGAGTGGATAATAATGAAACAATGATGATCGAATAATCGGTAATAACAATAACTGAGCAACGGCTCTAACAAAAACTCTAGGTTCCACAAAGCTAGGTAAACAGACTGTTGTAATGGCTCGCTCGTGCCGCTGACTGAGCGGCGGTTAGGGGGGAGGGACGCTCTGCCGGTCATGTAAACACGCGTACGCGAGCACGTGCTTGAGCGTTACGCCATAAAACTTTCAACCGTCGAGACGAGTATATCGGAAGCTGCCGCGTTATTTTCTAAATTATTTCGCGCCGATTTTTAATACCGCATTTTGACTTCGCCATAATTCAGGCGATAATTAATACGAATTGAGACGCGCAGTTCTCACGCGAGCAGAAGCTACGGGTTTTACCATGACAAGTAATTACAGCGTTTCATTTACTTTTCTACTTAAATAGAGAAACGTCGCGCTTAAGTTCCTCAATGCTAATCAAATACTATCAGCACCCATTTATTATTCGAATATTATTATTTCTTTATTCGGTTGTCATTTAATTATTTTTATTACGTATTAGGAAGCAACTCGAAACTCGAGCGTGCCATTACAACGATTTCTTTACCTTGTCTTGCTGTCGTGTGTAATTGATACTACCGGACATTATTATACAGTTGTCGATCAGACATTATTATTATCATCTATATTAATCGGGTATTATTATTTCTTTATTCGGCTATCATTTAATTATTTCTTATTGCGCATTGGAAAGGAACTCGAACGTATAGTTACGACAATTTTTTTCACCGTTTTACTGTCGCATGTAACTATTTGATACTAATTTATTAAATTATTAATTGATACTAAATTAAATTAAATTTCTGTCACAGAGATCTAGTAAAGAAGACGCAGTCACGCGGCTCTAGAGGATATGATGCCTGGGGGATGCCGCGCCGGAGGATTCGGCTTGGGCTTGGCTGAGCTCGAAGGTGAGCTTCATTGATTTATATTTGTGATTAGAAATCTAAACATTTTCTATCAAAACTGAACATTTTCTTGCTTCAAATCGAGTTCCTTAATGCCTCTATTGTCATGTAATTAATTAATACTAAATTAAATTTACTTTCTATTGCAGAGACGAGCATTCGACTCTAAAGGGATGCTGCGCCGGAGGATCCGGCTCGGGCCTGGCACGAGTTGGCGCGAAGGTGAGTTTCACTGATTTAAATTCGTAATTAGAATTACAGTAAAACTGGAAATTGTCTTGTTTGGAATTAAGTTTCTTAATGCCTCCATTGTCGTGTGTAATACTAAATGTGCTTTCTATTGCAGAGACGAAGCAGACGACCAGCCGACTCTTAGGGGCTGCTGCGCCAGAGGATCTGACTTGGGCCAAGCGGGGTTAGCTCGAAGGTTAGCTTCCCTAATTAGCATTTGTAATTATAAATACAATAAGTTTATACAATATTATAAGTTTATATAATATTTATACAATAAGTTTAAATTTTCTTGCTTGAAATCGAGAATTTGAATCAAGTCAAAGATCGCGGATATTCCGTGTCATACGTGAGAATCTCGCACAGATTACTGCGCCCACGCATCAAAAGATTTCGCGAGATCGGTCATCGATTCGCGTCGTGTGTTCCCTTCGCTCGCCTTCGGATACCGTTTTCTTCGTAAGCGATTCGCGTCGCGCGTGTATCAAAGCGATACACTACAATTTGATCGGATCGTTGCTGAATTCATCGCACATACTAGTCGTTTATCCGAAAGGCCGATATTTCCCCGAAGACGCAGTTCGCGATATTTCATACGCAATTCGCAACTCGGAGTGTATCTCCTAAGAGAGACGGGATTTTTCGTGAAACCTCCGTTAGATTACCGTGGTCGGGAGTGAATTACAAGTGCCATGGGACGCGAGGACTATTGTAATATCAGATGCAGCGACAGGATGGCTGATGGACCCTGGACACCGTGGGACGACGCACAATGGTGAGCGCTCAATTTAGACGCTCATATAGTAGATATAAAGCGTCACTTTACGTAGATTGCATGCACGTAGACGTAAATCGCATTGGGTCCGACGGGAAGTAAAGTAAGAATTGGAATTTGCAATTCGCCGGAGTTATGTAAGAATGATCCAACTAAAGAATTTAGCTCTAAGATTTTCGCAATAGTTCAACGAGTCAAGCATTTCCAATTTTTTAAGAGTACTGAATAGCTCAATTCTTAGAAAAAATGTGTAAAAAGATGCGACTGGTAAAAAATAAAAAAACTGTTTCTTAATTCATTTTAAGCATCTATAAAGCTTGAATTTTTTGTTTGGATTAAAAAGATGTGAATGGAGCATCCATTGATAAAAGGTTATAATTTTTTTAATTGGATCATTCTTGCATAATAATGGCCTATTGAAATTTCGACTCAACAGGCTTTCTTCTCGTCGGATTATTTCTTGATGATACATTAAACTGGTATATTTTAACATATCATTTATATGCTCTGTATATGTTATATATGCTTTTTTATGCTCTATATATATATTTTATATATACTCAATGTATATCCTATATATACTATTTGATTGATATATTTTATAACTTGTTATGTCGTATATACGACATACTATCTCTTCGGAGATATTTTTTATGCATACGCGTTTGTTGTTGACAAGACGACAAATTAAATTTCAAGAAATAGTTGATTTTACTTATTAAGTGCGCTTCGAGAACTTAGCGCACCTTTTTTTAAAAGTCTATTTTTTTGTATTTAATGACCGG